CTATGTCTAGACTTTTTTTTTTAAAAAAAGGCTTCAGGAGAGCTAAGAGACATCATTTAACTTGGTCATGAGTCTCAATTTCTATGTATACTTTTATTGTAAGGGGTATCAATTGTGGTTTAAAAAAAGGAACTATAAAAAAATGTTTCTTCAAAAAAATGTACCAAAATTGTTTTTTTTGTTTCCCTTAGGGATTTAGATGCTGGTTTTTTGTGTGTTTTTTAGAATTGAGCAACATTAGAGCAACAACTGATAGCAGTGAGAAAACTAGAAGTCGACACTACGGTTTTATTCTGAAGACAGTATCCTCATCACAGCTGACTAACTCTTGAGAACATCACTGCATGTAACATTCATGGTCACAGTGAAAAGTCCCTCCGCAAACATCATGGGGAATTAAATTTTTGTTCAATACATATTTTTAAGAATATATTGTTATATAAGAAGTTAGAGAAATGTTAACAGATTTATAAGTTTCACTTAAAAGGATTACATTCTGATAGTTTAAGAGCTAAGTTCAGGAAAACTCCTGAGGTGGAACATATCCATCAATTACAAAGCAGCTAGGCGAGGAAGGGCTCTGTATGTTGCTCAGGTCTCACACCTTCCATTACCCTGCTGGCAGTATCTATTCTATAGACTCTGTAACATCAAAACTACAGGTGAACCAAGCAAAATTCCACCAACTGATTGTATCATCTTAACAAAGCCAGTGGTTTGACTTTCTTTTTTTAAACCACAGTTTTCAGTATCAGCTGTTTCTGCATTATGGAATAATTCACTTCAGTGTCACACTCTATAGAACAAGACAACATATTCAAATTGGTATGATTATTAGCAAAGACACTTTTGTCACAACCAATTCCTCCATAAATTAATAACTCAGGAGATATTTTTTGAGTGGCTAACACGTTAAAGAGAACTCTATAATTATGAAAATCTGCGTAAAAAATTTTCAAGTTGAAAAAAATAGTCCCTTATTGTCGAATCCGAAATAAGAGGTTTTTTCTCTGTTAAAATATACTCAATTTCTGGTGTCACCAAAATATTTCTTGGCTTTTTAAACTTACTTCTAGCTCTCTTAAAATAGTCGCTGCATCATTTGTCACAAACAGCTTCTCCAGGTGGTTGATAACCATTTTGTTCATTCCTCAAAAATAACAGAAAAAGAAATTCATTACTCAAATCCTTTGCCAAATACCCAAGAAAAATTTAGTCAAGAAATATAAATTTGTATCCATTTCTTAAAACAACTTTGCAAGAACTCAACACATACTAACCTGTTCTTTAAGATTCTCTCATAGCCCCATGGCTTTTCCTGACCACATACTCCTATTATTTTCCTTTCTAATCTCCTATAATGTTTTCTAGGGAGGATGCCAACCTCATCACATTTTTTGTTCAATAAAAATAAATTATATTAAAATGTACAAAGACCAAAATAATTTACTCAAAAGTATATTTAGTTTTTTGCTTACTCCCTAAATCTATATCAATTCATTTGATGGTAGCAAGCAAGAGAGAGTTTTCTCCCTTAAATTATAATGTCACTTTACGTAAAAGAACTGTTCACCATTTGTCACAATGAACATTAAGTACTATCTCAATAATAACAGCACCATAATTCTTCTATCCTCTCAACAGGATAAAAAGTAACATTTTGATTCCTATTTTTCTAAAGAGATATAGGTTGCCAATTAAAAACTGGAAACACTATACTGGTGTCACTGAATGATGAAATAACTTTCAAAGCCACACTATATGATGGCTAAAACTGTCAATTTAAATATAATATCCTCAGAACAAGCTTGAAAGAGCTAGTACACAAAGTTCTAGTACTGGATCTTTTAAAACGTGAATTTAGAAGTTACCGTTTGGTCCATATGCCGTACGAGTTGTCTGGGCAAGCTCCTTGCAAGCCTGTATGTTCCTGTACACAGCCTCTTCTAATCCTGAAAAATGCTGTAAAACAAAACTTCTGATTAGACAGGCCAGTGAAAACAAGAACTGATTCATCTGTAAAATGGAGGGAATAATAAGAGTACCTACTTCACTGGACTGTTGACTCAATCAAGCAAGATTTATGTATGGAAAGCATGGTGCTTGGTATTCAGAAATGATCCATACATTTGCTCACTAGTTGAATGAATAAAGCACGACAATTTTAGGCACCACAGGTACCTACTTATATATCAAAACACAAAGCCTATAATTTTTTTTTGATGCAGTGAAAAGTGCAGGAAGAGTGCTAAGACTGATTAGAGACAGCATATGGAGCCATTTCAGGTACAAACACCTTTTCAGAGTTTACCAGGACCTTCTGACAAAAAGTTGAAATGCAGTATGAACTTTTTCTTACTGTGTTAAAGCCTGAGCATTGTAAAGCCAGCAGTCCCATGTTCACTGGGAATTCCCACTTAATATACCTGTCCCCAAACTCTTTAAGGACTAAAGTGTACAGGCTTTTGAAGTGCAACACAATTCCAATGTGTACCTATTGAAAACCTGCTGAATCGCTTGCTCACAGTACTAAAATTCGCAAATTTTACACTGGACTTTTTTTTAGAGTTGGGATTTACCTGTGGCCTCAGATAGGTTTCATGAGCATACTGTTCATGTGAACATTTTTCTAGAGCTGCTTTGCCCAAAATAGTAGCCAGTGGCCACATATGGCTATTCAAATTTCAAGTAATTAAAAATTCAGTTCCTCAACTGCACTAACCACAGTTCAAGTGCCCAGTAGCTGCATGTGGCTAGTGGACAGTATATGGGACAGCACTGATACAGAACACTTCCATCACTGCAGAAAGTTCTATCAGTCTGTTCTGGGGTATAAGGCGTGGCTTTTATAAGATAGATAAGAGGAACTGTGATCCTAAGAAGGTTAAGAACCACTTTAGAAGCAGCGTCTTCATCGACAAGGGACAGACTCTTCCAACAGCATTTAGTCTGATCTCTTGGCTTATACTCTTATATCCTCTCGCGTCCCCCAGGAACAGCCCTCTGATCATCAATCAGATGCCATCAAACCCTTCAGTAGTTTCCCGTCACTCTCAGGATAAGAAGTAAATCCCTCCTCAGGGTTACAAGGCCCCATATGTTTGGCCACTGCCTAAGGCTACTGTAAGTTCATCTCTTCCATTCTTGCCTTCCCTCGGTGACCTTCAGTACCATCACCTTTCTTACTGCTTCCTTTTAACAGGTCAAACTCATTTTACCCTCCGGGTCTTTGTACTTACTGGTCCTTCAGTCCAGGACACTCCTCTCTTTAGTGTTGGCTGGTTCCTTCTGTCACTCAGAAACCGAGCTAAGAGTTCTTCCCTGAATATCTTATTTAATTGTTCTATCTACCTTGGACCCTTGCCTTTTTTTGGAGGCAGTCTTTCTTTCTTCTTGCCATTCTCTCCCACAGTACTGTTTATTTCCTTTGTCACTACTTTAAATTAGCCTTATTTATTTATTATTTCTGCTTCAGGAGAATAGAAACTACGAACAGTTTTCAGCCTGAATTTTTAAAGAAAAAGTAACCAGTAGATGTCATTTTCAGCCAGTTTGTTTCACCAACATTTACATTAAACCCCGATATTTATTTAGTATACTCGTGTTATCCCCGAAGTGCATCCTGCCAACAAGAACCTAGTTCCCTAAAACTTGAAGTATTTTTAAAAATTATACTCTTGAAATTACGTTCAAGACCTGGCCATAAAACAAAGCAGTCTCATCAATTCAGGCCAGGGTGTCACTTATCTGCGAGTTACACACGTAAGCTGGACAGTTACGACTTAAAGGTAGCACCTTTGGTAAAATCTCAATTTAAAGATGAGGAAAGAAAGACTCTGGTGGGCAAGTTTTACAAGGTAGCTAGCCTAAGTTGAGACAAGAGCTCATTTGGGTTGTAAGTGATGTTCGTCCTACTATAACGCACTAGTCTGCGAACTAAGCGCGGAACCCTCTGTTTCTCATTTGGAAGGAAGGTGCCAAGAACCGGCCCTTGCTCCTCGCCTCTCCCCTCGGATCGCCCAATCCTCGAACTGTGTGTCAATCGGCTCGGCAGTCGCCCAAAGCAATCTCACCTCCCGGTTACTGATGCAGGGAAGATGCACAAGGGCGTTACGCTTGCCCAGTCAGTTAGCGCAAAACGGGAATCCTGCGGCCTTGCCCCTCACCCGCCGCCTCTGCCCCCTCGACCCTCCCCGGGGTCGGAGAAGGACGGAAATGTCCGCGGGCCTCGGCGGCCAAGCCCTCCCGAGAACACCTCCCTTTCCAGAACCTTCTCTTCCTCCGACTACTGTCCGGGGAGCACGCCGGGCGCGTTACTAGGCCCTGCTCCCTCGCTGCGGCCACCGCAGCCCTGCGCCGGCTCTCCCACCTCACCCTCCCTTCCTCACCTTCGCTCCTTCCTTGAGCATCTGGGCAAAGCCCGGGGCCTTGGGGACGTGAAGCGCCATGACCAGTATGCAGAGAGCCTTCACGCGCTCACTCAGATCCGGAGGCAACGAGAGGGACGCACAGCCTCCTGGGAACGCAGCGTGCCGCGGCCTCACGCCCCTCCTCTTTCCCCAGCGGGGCCCGCCCCTTCCTCAGCCGCCTGGTCTGAAGCCTCGCGAGAAAGAGCAGTTCCCGCAGCCCAGACTGGATTGACGATCCTCGATCAGGTCGATCGATCGGGCCGATCGCAGATCGCGCCTTCGGTCGTCCGGCCGACGCAGGTGCAGGCGGATCACGCTGTTGTGGCTGGTTCGCGACTGCGCTGTGGAGAGTCCGTGGACGGCGCGTTACATGTTTCCATTTCTGATCTAGAAGGAACGCCTGTCTCCTAAAATTAATTTCCGCTTAATTTTCCAGACCCACTGGCAGCGTCAGGGCAGGTGTTCCCTTTTTTCCTGAGGCAGAGCATCTGCCGTCATCCCCCCAAAATCTATGGTTGGGCGTCTGCTCTGTCTTGGGCTCTGTAGGAAGCGCTGGGACCGGAAGGTGATAAATTAAGAATTGTAAGGATAACTAAGTACTGAGTGCCCATATGTGTCAGGGTCTGTGTTATTAGCTTTACGTGCGATATCTCAGCGAATGGTCAAACTTAGGGGTGAACTATTATCTCCATTTGATAGAAGCGGAAAGTGAAGTTTACAAACGACTATGTGTCCAAGATCCTAGGGCTGGGAATGTTAAAAAGAGGATTCCTAGCCAGATGAGACCCACGGCGAAATGCACGTTCTTAACCACTGTTGGTAGCCCTCTTTTCTGCTTTTTCCTGGAAATATTTCTCTTTTTCTTTCCCAGAATCTTTTAAAACCTGATCTCTGTCTTCCCGCGTCAACACGTGGCTGATTTTAAAAATATGGAATGGTCATAGAGCACTTTTAAGAATAACTTTACACTGAAAGCAATCCACTTTCCTTGCAGAAAATACGGAAAACGCGAAGCAGAACGTTTTGCCTCCACTTTTGTTCTTGAACAGGTGCAAATTACTTACTTTCTTTAAATTGGGACAGATTTAGTATGCCATAAAACTGAAAGGGGTTAAAAATGAGAATTGATAAAATTTAATTAATTAAAAATGACTAAGGAATCAAATCTTGATAAGGACCATGGAAAATTAAACTTGAGGACAAAACAATTGATGAATCAAATTTCCATGCAAAGTTTATAATAAAAAATTGATCTAACATTAATTTTAATCCATTAAAAAGGAAATTGAAATCAATTAAAATCTTCTGTATGGTAATTTGTCAAGAAATTAAATTGATTTAATTACTAAGAAGAATGCTTTTTAGATGAAAATTCATTAATTTTGTATTATTTGGGTTAAACTGTGTATTCATAATTATAGGATCAAAATATCAAGGGCAAAATTTTCATTGGATCCAAGTAGTTGGTCAAATATTCCTCAACCGGAAAAGAAAAGAAACACAAATCCTTACTGTTGCTGCAGGCCTTAGGTTCCGGTCCCTGCTTAGCTCACATGTATCTTCCTCTCTGTCTTCTGGCCATAGTAGCCCGAATAGTTGATCCTGTCTTTTACCTCTTCTGCATCAGGGGCCTTGCTTCTGCTCTTTTCTCTAGGTAGAGTGCTCTCCCATTTCCTTTTGGCTGAGTTAATTCTACCTCATAAACACACACTTTCATTAGAAAGCTTTCTGTGACTCCCAAGACGTTCCCTGTTAGTCACTTTCCTAACATCTGTCCTCCTTCAAAGCACTTATCACAGCTGTAATGACAAAATTATTTGTATTCTTTGTCAACCAGTAGGTAGGTGCTGTATTGCCATCACCTGTCACTGGGCATTGCGTGGGGTAAAGTCTCGATAAATAGTTGTCGAATGAATGAATGGATGACCAAATGGGTGTCTGGAAGGGGAGACCAAAGAATTGGGAGGTGTGGTCTCTGTTCCTCTCATCCAGAAGTACATGCTGTAAAACTAGAGAACATCACAAAGCAATCGAAATGGTTTGATTAGGAGTTTGCAAAAGGCCAAGAAGGCTACAGGCTTCTGCTATTTTGATTCAAGAGCCCAGGACCCTCGTGCTAGGTACCAACTGAAAATATGACCTCCAGCGTCCAGGGGAGAGCCAGGGCCTTGTGGATGGGGAGTGTCTGCCCCCTCGCCCCCCCATTCAGGAAGAACTGCACTCTTGGGCTGGCGATGTCTAAGCCAACTCAAGGCTCTGATAAGGACTCAGGTCACCAATTGTTTCCAGTGACTTTGTTTTTCCCCACTTCTTTTGTTTGCCTAAAGTTTTAACTTCTGTACTTCACAATTGTTTTAATGTCTTTGCCTCATCTATATATTTTAATTTATTTGGTATTCTTATTTAATTTTACCGACTCCCATCAAATCTTTACTCTTCTGACTTTTCTCCCCTCCCCCATATGTATTATTTATTTCATGTTACAGTATCATCCTAGTTTTCACTATTTTTCCATCAAAATTTAATTCTTTTTATTTGACTTTGGATTTTTATGACTCGTTTTGTGTTGGCTTATTGTCTAACTTCAATTTCTTTTTTTGTGAAAATCTCTTAATTTTCCTTTATAAATTTAAAGTTTTTCTCCACGTTAATCAAATTTCTTTGGACTTAAGGCAACCCCTGTTCTCTCTTGGAGTTTGGAAATAGTCACCAAAGTGAAATCTGAGTCAGGCGACTGGGATTCAAAGCATCATGGACTTTGGAGGATATGGCTTAGTGTGAAAGCCCAGACATTCTTGTCCCTGATTGCTGCTTTGCCCTAAATTGGAATGGCGAAGCAGAAAAGAGGACGATAGACTTTTTAAGGGTTAACTTCGTGTAAGCAAGAAAGGTGACCCCATGTCAGTCACCCACCAAGCCAGATAACTCCCTCCAATTGGAGGGTAAGGAGTGAAGCAGGAAGCCAGGAGGATTGGGGAAAACCAATAGAGTATGAAGAAGTACTCTTCCAGTGTAATTGTTATTTTTGTGTCTTAATTTCCCTGTAAACCTCCCATTCCTAGCCTTCTATGTGTGGGGTAGGGGTGAGGTCGGGGGTTAGATTGGGCCTCAGACTTCCATGTTGATCCCATAGCTTCGTGAAGTTTCTGTCAAGAAACAAGGCAAGGTCAGGGCCAACTCCTGACTGATTTGGCTGGTAAAGATATAGTGAGCCACTTTTAGAATCAGACAGTTTATCACTTACATTGACAATGAAAGGAAGATGGCCAAAGGTCCCAGCTCCTTGAGGTCATTATCCCACACATCAAAAGAATAACACTGAACCAGAGGACGCAGGAGACTGTAATGCAAGTTGTGGGATACCCAACTGCTGAGGAGCTAACTCTGGCCTTAGCTACTCAGTTTTATATTCTGCCTCTCTACTGCAGGAGGGTACGGCAGGATGATCCACACCTCATCAGAACACTGGAGATGATGAAAAACTGCCTCATGACAGCTTCCTAAAGGGCATAGGGAGGTAAGAGGGAAATGGCCTCAGAGAAGCTCTTCATAGGCCTCCCATCCACTTGCATTCCAGGAAGATCACAAGGCATTCTGCCAAGACTCAGATTAGCTTGGGGCAAGCCTTTGCCTGCACGGTCTGTGTAGAAACATGCAAAGTTGCCATGGCACCATGGCAGAGCCATTCCACTAACGGATCTTGGCACTGTTTCTCCTTGTGGCTATCCTCAGATGGCTTACTCTAGTGATGTTCCTTGTGCTCAGGCCCGTCTTGCGATTCCATTTGGATGCTTACCCTTCCTGCCCGCTCTTGTAAGGTAGTACTTTTCCAGCCCCATGTTGCGAGAGATCTCACACCCTTTGGTTATCCTTGATTATTTCCTGACACGTATAGAATACTGGCATCCTAAAATATCAGCAAGACAATATGTTGCTGAGACAAACCTGACAGCTCTATTCTACTGCAGTCAGAGGACTATTTTGTCAGAGTCTTAGTAGCATCTCAGTTGGGGAGGGGTGTGCAAAGTTAGGATATTTATAAGTTTTTGAAGTCTGGTTAAGGAAAGTCTGTCAATGCAGAAGCATGGGAGGTTTGAGTAAAGATCACGATATAGGATTGATGGGCACAGCAAGGTAAGGATTTGGAGGCAGTGGGTTCAAAGAGTCTTGGGGGTTCATGAAACTGTCATTTGATGCTTTCTCTTGAAGAGTTGTTGGATCTTTCAGGAAGCTTCTGGAATGAAAAATATAGTTATTTTCAACTTTTGGAGGGGGGGCTCAGGAATATTATCCCTGAGCTAACATCTGTTGCCAGTCTTCATCTTCTTTTTTTTTTGCTTGAGGAAGATTAGCCCCGAGCTAACATCTGTGCCAGTCTTCCTCCGCTTTATACGTGGGTCCCTGCCACAGCATGGCTGATGAGCAGTGTAGGTCCCTGCCCAGGATTTGAACCTGCAAACCTGGGCTACAAAAGTGGAGCATGCTAGTGGGGGGAGGGCAAAAGGGGTGACTAGGCTTACATGTGAGGGGATGGGCTCACTTAGTTTTTGGGTGGTGAACATCATGTAATCTACACAGAATTCGAAATATATTACAATGTACACCCGAAAGCTATATAATGTTATAATCCAATGTTACTGCAATTAGAAAAATTTAAAAAAGAGGAAAAAAAAGAAAGTGGAATGTGCTGAACTCAGCCACTACATCATGGGGCTTGCCCTCAGTTATTTACAACTTTTATCTTCCTGGGCCAGTGATTCCTAGAATAAAGTTATGCTGATGGAAACATTGGAATAGTAAAGTCATACTAATATAGACAGCAAGCTATGTGGGTGTAGATGGTTTCAGTTGTCACTCTTGACACTTTTTTCTAGGGACAATCAAAGAGGATCTTCTCCAGATGATTGAATCTCCTGTGAGCTCAGCATCAGGTACGGTATCTTGGTCCAGAGAACCTGTGTTCCAAATACTGGTGTGGTGGAGGCCATGTTTAGATTCAGAAGAGGCAGCTAGACTGATGCTGAGCACATAGAGGCACATGCAGATTCGCTGATATCAGTCCATACGCCGCGACCAATATGTCTATTTTCTATTTTTGGTTGTTTAGCTGAAGGTTGTTTTCCTTCCAAGAATAAGATTCCTCTACTAGAATATGGCATAATTGGGGCCTAAAAAAAGGTTCTTATATTACCTTATGTTAAAAACCTCAAGCAAACTTACTCTGTTTATTCTGGCTATGTTAATCATTTGACTGCAGGAGGCCTTATAGCTAAGGTTTTAGGTCCCTCTTTTCCTAGTTATAGGGAAAATATTTCAGAAGTAAGGAGGTGCTAGTGATGCTCACATTTTTCAAACTTCTGGTGGGTGGAGGATGATGGCCAACAAACACTCTTAGTCAGCTCAGGTTCCCATAACAAAATAAACATAGACTGGGTGGCTAAAACAACAGAAATTTATTATCTCGCAGTTCTGAAGGCTGAGAAGTCCAAGATCAAGGTGCTGGCAAGGTAGGTTTCATTCTGAGGGCTCTTTTCTTGGCTTGTAGGCAGCCACCATCCTGCTGTGTGTGAGGTCTCTGATGTCACTTCTTATAAGGACGTTAATCTGATTGTATCAGGGCATCACCCTTATGACCTCATCTAACCTTAATTACATCCTTACATCTCCAAATACAGTTACATTAAGAGTTGGGGTTGCAACTTATAAATTTGGGGGGAACACAATTCTGTCCATAGCATTCCCTATTCTCTTAGGAATTTTTTTGTCCTGATTAATTTCTCTGATAAATCAGATGAGATTTGCCTTGATGCATATATTGCCCTTATCAGACCACCTGCTGTCTGCTTGGGTATTGGGCCACATTTCTGTCATCTTTGGATGTTCACTGATTCTGTGAACCCCATAGCAGGAAGAACCATTTGAACACCTAGCCTGGTAAAAAACAGATGGTGACGTGCCTCAAACCTCAAACCGTTGAGAGAGAGAAGATTAACCTTCCCCTCAGCTACTTCTATGGGGACCTCAGGGACATGTTGAGTGGTAAATTCCTCCCCAACTTCCTTTGCTTATGGAGTCTGCTCATTTTGAATGCTAACACACAGGATAAACCTGGAGAGTTCACATAGGATAAACATGGGAGCAGTGGTGTGTGAGTTAGGCACTTCAAGCTTGCAAGGAAAGGAAATTTACCTGCTAGGATCACTGTAGAGGGTGTGGTTTATTAAGGATTATAAAAAAGTAAGAAATCGCACAACTGTCCCCAGAGCCAGCTAACTTTTCTTGGATACCGCCATAGGCTGGGCGTCTCTGAGTTACCATTCTCATAGTTTAGTTTATCTCTGTTTCTATGGCTTCTACCAAAGTGGCATCTGCTTCTCTTCACCTCTTTCCACTGCTGACCTCTTTTTCTTCTCCCTACGTCTTAGCTTTGGCTTGCTTCCTTTTCTCTGTATCTCTCAGCTTCCCCGCCCCCTCAGGTGGGTCTCTGTGTGTTTCAGTTTTAAATATCCAAGAGAGAAGATCTGGTTGGTTCAGTTTATTGCTATCCAATGAAAAAGTCCCCAGGTTCTGCTGAATCCTCAAGTCAAGGATACCACCAGCCTCTATGGCTGCCTTGGCCTAAGTAAGAATTCTGGGTACACTCAATGGTGACCAGGAAGCCAGGATCATCTGTAACCTTAGTGTAAGGAATGCTTTGTGACTGTTTTGTCCCAAAGTGAGTTATGAGTGTGGCCCACATTCAGAGTTTCGTAAGTAGTCTAGTCAATCTGTTCGAGGCTATGCTGTGTTTCATAGCTCCCTTAGAATTTTCTGGATGAAGGTAAAAATAAAAAGATATGAAATATATTATAGTTAATCACTCCCTGTTTATTACCATTCTGAGAATGGAGATCTTGAACTGGCTGAAAGTGATCCTTTTCCTCTTATTTAAATGTTGGCTGCGTTGCTGTGGTTCCTATTTGTGCCTAGCATGATTGAGCTGTTTAGAGTATGAGAATGAGGAAGGTGAAATGGAGTCAGAGACATTTAAATTCTATTGGTGATGCCTTAGATCGCTGGAGAATGATGAAATCTCTACCTTAGGGCACTTGAGACAGAAGTTTCCCTTCAGCTTTTACGAATGGATTGTTGATAAACTAGAACGGTGTTCATCAGTCCCTCTTTTAGTAAAATTGGGAGTTCCTGCCATGGTTCCTCTGATGGACTTGCTAGACTGACTCGCTTGTCCTGTATTACAGAGGCCAGAGAGTGGAAACTGTGTTTCCTAGGTTCTCTTGAAGTTCTGGTTCTGAATCTAATAAGTCTCCACCAGTTAGATGCCTTCATGTGAGGGTTGGAAGGTGGTAGGGAGACAAGGTCTATTTTCATGCTTCTTTGGTAGTTCTGCCAGCGAGCGGAGTCATTAGAGGACGCATTTTTGGCATCACTATTGCAGTAGTTGCTCTGTGTGGAGGGGCAGCTGAGGAGATGGGGACAACTTCCTCCTCCTGGCTTCTTGCTCTCTAGATCACAGCTGTGAGGGTGTGTTCTTGATCTCAGGCCATCCAGCAGTGACTCCTGATTCTCTGTCTTTCTGATCATACAGAAAATATGCCTCCCAAGGAAGGGCAGTTCTGTGACATTCAGGATTTATTCCTGGAGGCCCATCTTAGAGCTGGCTTCTCCATCCCACAGTGGGTTTTTGAAGCATCTGATTCTTTGTAGTAAAACCATTTCTACTTGTAATACCTAGAGTGGTTTCTGTTTCCTACGTGGGACACTGATTGAGACAATTCCTGTGTTTATGATCGTTAGGAAGCTGAGAACAGTCATGACCAGGCTTGTGAGCTAACATGTGAGATGAAATTCAGAAGTCATTTAGGGTCTTGCCAAATCCAATTTTCACTCTTGATTTTCAAAAATTTTTGGTTTTTAAAAATTAATCCCTTGTGGCTGGCCTGGAACTGAGAATCAGGAATGATTTTGAGACGAACCTGATGAGGAAAATTGAAGAAGCCCCAATATTGAGCGAAATGAGAGACCCCCTTTTCTCAAATTTTTAATTTGAGATAAAATGCTTCTCTCTAGTACATGCAGGAAACATTTATTTTCATAGTCTTACTGATTAAAAAGTTCAAATGAAAAGTTACCTCGTGAAAATTTTCTGTTACTAAAATTGTTTATGGTCTGCTGGTAGCTGGCCTTTCCAACTTTGCTCTGATGGACCAAAGTATGTATATCTCCCACTTCCCCCACTTTTTGAAAAAAAGATAAATCCTCCACTCTTTTCAAATTATGGATTTATCAGATTACTGTTTTTTTCTTTTAAACATTTTAGCTAGTTTCCCACGACACATTGCAAGTCTGGGTTTCTCAGGCCAATATTCTATGCAAAGAGCAGGCTTTTGACAAGGCTGTTCCACAGTAAATTACTTTTCTTTCTGTATATTTCATGCAAAATCTTTCATGAGCAAGACATGATTGTTCACAGTTTTATTGATCTTTACTCGGTATTTGACTCTGTGGATAGGAACCAATTGTGGGCTAAACTCTACCATAACGAACCCAGTCCTGATTCTTACGTAGAATTTGCATCTTAACACCGGTGCCAAGATTTGGGTGTGGAAGAACAGTCTTCTGATCAATTAAATAATTATGTAAAGATGAGTGAAACAGGCATGTTTTGACCCTTTCTTTTTACTTGTTTCTTAGTATTCAGTATTACTTTTGGATGAGCTAATTGACTCTCCCCTCTCTCCCATTAAGAGTAAAAGTAGCAAGTTTCATCTACTAATAATATCAAGCTCCAGAAATGACTTTGTCAGTGCTTGGTCCTCTTTTCTAATACTGCATAAAGGAATGGCTTAAATTCAGGTGCTGTAGCAGTTAGCAAGAACAAACCACTGCAAAACTGAGTGGCTGAAAACAGCTGCTTGTTATTTCTCACAAGCCTGGGGCTGGGTGGGCGCTTTGGTTCACCTGAACCAGGCTTTGCTGTATTAGGCAGGGGTTGCTTTTGTATCTGCACTCAGCCGATGGGTGGGCTGGGGAGTGGTAGGTTAGGAGGCCTCAATGGGGACAGTTCAGCTTTGCCTCACCTGGTCTCATCCTCCAGCTGGCTGCCTGGGCTGGTGCTTGTGAAAATGGAGGGTTCCAAGAGAGCAACCAGAAATGTGCAAATACTGTGTTGAATTTGCTACTATCTCATTGACTGAAGTAGGTCACACGGCCAAGTCCAGAGTCAGTGTGGGCAGACAGAATCAAATTGTGGAGAGGCAAAGAAGCAAGAAAATTGAGGACAATAGTGCTGTCAATCCACCATAGCCACTCAAACCCCAATCATCCTTTTTGGCAAGAATTTTCCAACACTCATTTGCTTTGTATTCAACAAGTCCACTCAGGGAGTTATTTTAGGAAACTATCCAAACGAATTTACCTGGTAGGATTTATTAGAAAGCAATATTACTTAAATTAAAATTTTCTTTTGATACTTTACTGAGATTTTTTTTTTCTTGAACCACAATAAACAACTGTTAATATTTGTATTGAAAAGACTGAGGCTAAAAATGAGTGTGATTGTTCTTTCTGTTGTAGAGATTTGTGGTCTTACTTTTCCATTTATTTATATTTTGAAATTAATTCTGAAATTTTTGGAAGGCACGACATTGGTCCTTTCTAAAGGAGATTAGGCATTTGCCTTTGTTAGTTCCTCAATTTTCTCTGCCTTACTCTACTACGCAGAATATCTGTGCCCTGGATTCTAGTTTGAAAATATAACTTTTAACCATCTTTCACCTAATCTTTATCAAAGCCTAATTGCAAAAATTTATGTTTGAGGGAAATTCTCTGAATATTATGCAGTACACTCTCATTTAGAATAAATTTTGTCCTTGGATCAAGCCAGACCATCAACGTTCTAGTTCTTTGGAGAATTGAGTTTGACAAATTGCAT